AAAAATTAATTTTTCAAACAAAAAAAATATTGCACAGTGCAAAACTCAAAAAAAAAACATTTTGCACTGTGCAGTCAAAAATTAAAATTGTCTTAAATTTTTTTGCAAAAAAAATATGCAATATGACTAATTTTTCATATTTTTCATATTTTTTACTATTTTCCAGATTTTATCATACCATGTTTACTTTTTTGAACTCCCCCCGTTTCCTCTCGCGGCCTCAAAAAGTGGGAGGGCTTATCTGGAGGGCAAGCACGGAGGGAGGGAGGGGAGGGAAAGGGGGGGGGAGGTCACGGGCAAAGCGGTTTCTAAAACAAACCTCAAACAAAAAAAATGTATGAGGCAAAAAGTGGGAACGTTCGCAAAAAAACAAAATTTCTTCTCAGGCACGTTTCCAGCGGTCTTTTTCGGCTTCTCCAGATGCACGCGGTTTGCACCGTGCAAGGAAAGTTCGTTGAGGAAATGGATGGGGGGTTTCGGGAGGCTTTGAATGTTTTAGAAACTAGTTTTTAAAACTTTTTAGGCCATAAATCGAGAAATTTTGAAGTTTCGAAACTTTGTTTTTTGAGATTTTTAAAATTTTTAAAATATGGTTTGCAAAAATTTTAGCTTGCCTTAGGCTTTTTTAGGGGTCATTGGTTTGCTGTGTACATTTAAAACCAGGCTGTTTCAATTTCCCGGCTATTTTGGGTTTGGTGACATTTTATACGCCGAAATTTTTTTCGTATAAAATGTCGCCTAGCCTTAATTTTTTTGTTGTGAGAGTTTTTTGTGGACCTCTAAAATTATTTCTTTTAATTTTCCGGTTATTTTTTATGTTCAGGGACATCTTATACGATGAAAAATCTCTTCGTATAAAATGTCTCCAATTCACCTCAAACTTTTGTAAAATCGGAAGGAACTAATTTTGGAGACGCATGACAAGTTTTTAGCTTGCGCTTTGCAGAAAAGAATTATATTTTTAGGTAAAAAATTCCAAATTTTGTTTAACGCTTTCCGGACGAGTCGGCACGTATATACTAAAATGAAAGAGGGTACCCTACTGAGTAACGGCATAATAGTGGTTCAGCCCATCGAAGCGTTATTTGGGACTTATGACAAAAAACGTCCTTAAAACTACCCCCACTTGACATATCAATTTTAAAATTTTTGCGACAAGATGTAAATCGGAAACTACCCTTAAATTAAAGTCGAGGAGTCCTAGTATTGTTACATCCAAGAATTGTCCAAATCGGAGCACCATAGGATTTGTTATCGATTTTTGGAAATTGAATTTTTAATTTTGGTCAATTTTGGACCTAAAATCAAGTATATCTTCTGTCGACATCAACCATTTCGGTCCAAATGTGGTTTTTCCGAATCTATTGTGATGCTACCTTCTTACTAGAATATTTCCAGAAAAAACCTATGAGGCATATTTCTGTAAAACGCGGAAATGTTGAAAACGTAAAGGTTTGATCGTATAAAATGTCGCCGCGAGCCGCGAAGGGACGGGCGCAGCTCGAAACGAGAAAATAATAATTTTTTCTTCGGGAAATATTATTTTGGTGTCGAAAAGCTGATTTCAACACGAAATACAGGCAGAAATAGCACGCAAACATTACCTAAATGTCATTTTTATATTTTTACTCTGTTTTCAGGCAATTTCAATCGAGTTTAATTTGGTTTCACGCTAAAATCAAACTTCTCGAAAAATCTTAAAATATTTTCTCGTTTCGAGCTGCGCCCGTCCCTTCGCGGCTCGCGGCGACACTTTATACGATCAAAGCTTTACACTTTCAACATTTCCGCGTTTTACAGAAATATGCCTCATACGTTTTTTGTGGAAACATTCTAGTAAGAAGCTAGCATCACAATAGATTCGGAAAAACCACATTTGGACCGAAATGGTTGATGTCGACAGAAGATATACTTGATTTTAGGTCCAAAATTGACCAAAATTAAAAATTCAATTTCCAAAAATCGATAACAAATCCTATGGTGCTCCGATTTGGACAGTTCTTGGATGTAACAATACTAGGACTCCTCGACTTTAATTTAGGGGTAGTTTCCGATTTACAGCTTGTCGCAAAAATTTTAAAAGTGATATGTCAAGTAGGAGTACTTTTTAGGACATTTTTTGTCATAAGTCCCAAATAACGCTTCGATGGGCTGAACCACTATTATGCCGTTACTCAGTAGGGTACCCTCTTTCATTTTAATATATACGTGCCGACTCGTCCGGAAAGGGTTAATCAAACTTTTTTTCTGATTTTTAATCATTTTGGACATTTTAAAAAACATTTAAAACAAATTTAATTTTCTTTGCAGACATGAACAAATTTTTTCTCCCATTTAACGCGCCTATTAGTATTCCACTTACAACAAGATTGGCAATTTTGACCAATTTGCACCACTTTTTTCTAGTCTAATTGTATTTTGCTCGGTTTTTGACAGACTCTTTCTCTAATGACTTTACCTTCTCATTTCTCGGTCCAAACAGTTGTGAAATAAAACAAATTTTGTTGGTTTTTCGTCATTGACCTTGTTGGTATCAAAAAAAGGTCAGAAAAATATGTATATCTTGTGCTTTCAAGGTAGATCTCTGAATCTATAAAACCATAATCCTTGCCCTGGAGTTTAATCAGTGATCAATTTCAGTGATAGGTCGCGTTCTTTGGGTTAGGGGACATTTTATACGACGAAAATTTTTTTCGTATAAAATGTCGCCTTGCCTGATTTTTTTTCTTTTTTGAAATTAGAGCTTTTTGCGTACCTCTAAGATCATTTTTTCCCTTTTTCCAGTTATTTCCTATGTTTGGGGACATCTTATACGGAAAAAAATCTTTTCGTATAAAATGTCTCCCATTCAAATGAAGATTCTGTAAAATCATAAGGTCTTTTTTGACGAGATCTAGACCAAATTACAATCAGAATTTTTTATAATATACGCGAGTACGTAGGCAAAAACTTCCGACATTTTTAAGCTACCGAAAATTCATCATTTTTCCCTCTTTAAAGATTGCTGAATATCTCGGCTCCAGCTTCAAAGGGGAAAATCAAAATTTCAGAAGTTGATTTCGAGCCTATGAAGATTATCTGGCCAAAACTTATGGCCATTCTGACAATCGGAAGGTAACTTTTTGGACCTTTTTTGCAGCTCATCCCCATTTTTGATGGTTTTCCAATCATCATCCATTTTTCCTAATTTAGCCGACTTCCCAAACAATTTCAACTAATTTTCATAAACTACAGGCCCTAATCCTTCAACTCACTTCCCTCTTGTTACACTTCCAGTCAGCTTGTCCGTTGTAATTCCGAAAATGTAATCGAACAAACACTTCCTCGGGTTGTAAACCCAATTACTCGCTTTGCTCTCAAACTTCCATATCCCTCTCGAACTTCCACCCCCACCGCCCGACATTTCCCCGAATTCACCCCCATTCCCAGCGATATTTACACATTCGGCGGTGTAAATGGCCGTAAACATTGCCGTTTCCACACTTTACATTTGACCTTTTCGCTTCCGTTTTCTATTCTTCGTTTTTATTTCATTGCGGGTTTATGAAAGTCGCGTGAAATTTTAATCAGACTTTGCCCCGCGGACTTCCGGCCCCATCCGCTTCCGAACATTGTTAGTTTTTTCGGTGGGGTTGAATTGGGACGGCGGCTTTTATTCGGGATGAAATTAACTTCGCTCCTCAGGCGTTTGTTTTATTAGAGGCGGGTGTTTCGCCCACAGCGATCTTTGAGTTGTGCGGTGTGCGTGGAGTGTTTGTGCAACCATTTCGGGGGTGGCTTTGTGTTTTGGGATTTTTTAATTAATTTCGCGAATTTTGAAATTGGGTGTGGGCGCAGTCTGCGGAATTTAAAAAGGGTGTTGGAACTTTGTGATTTCTTCTCAGATAATTTCATACGGCTTTATAAGCTCCTAATCCAAACTTTATCCTAGTTTCATCAAAATCCGCTTGAATTTTCAATGTTAGTGAGGGCGCAGCCTGCCAAAATTAAAGTTGCTTATAAACCATCTGGCCGTTTAATACGGCATAATAATGCATTACATGGACCCAGTAACTATCAAAAATTATCTCTAACTCACTTTTTAGCCTTAATCTCAAAGCCAGGGCGCAGCCTGCCTACTCTTTTTTTGCTCATTTTCGGTTTTAAAATATATTCAACCTCTGGTTGATGCTTCTTACAGTTGTTGGTACATAAAAAATGCGTGATTACTCACATTGTCCCGACAGACAAACCACAAATCCTTCGCTTCGATCTTTACCCCACCTCCCTTTCCAAGCCCCGCGAAGTGTAATCGAAGTGGAATTTTCCGTCGGATTTGAATACAAACCTATCATTTCAAGCGCAAATTGATATTCGATCCTCGTGCCGGCGGCGATTTGCATAATTCCGTGGTTTTTCGGGGGTTCTAATACTTGACCAATTTCCCGGTTCCCGCACACCGAAAATACGTATGATTTTGGCCTTTGTTTTATTGGTTTACAGGCAGGTAATTTTCGAAGACGCTCTAGGTTTCTTTCATTTTGCGATTTTTTCGCTTTTTAGTAAAGGGGACATTTTATACGAAGAAAACATTTCTTATCGTATAAAATGTCACCCAAACCAAGTTTTTTGAATTTGAAAGTCAAAAAATTATTTCGAAGAGCAAAGTAATTGTTTCTTGATTGTTTTTTACTTTTCCCGATTTGGGGACATTTTATACGATGGAGATGTTTTATCGTATAAAATGTCGAAAACTCGAAAAATTTGAAAAAACTCGAAAATCTGACTTCGTTAAGCTTCCAAATTCATAATCGTTTTAGTTAAATACCAGGAATTGTATGGGCGACATGTTATACGATGAAGCGTTTCGTCGTATAAAATGTCCCTTTTGAATTAGCGCTTTTAATTTTGTTACTAAATTTACAGTTCTGTCTGTTTCAACTTCCGTATTTTACAATATTTTATCGCGATTTCGATAATTTTAATGGTTTTAACTCAAAAAATCTCATTTTTCCAGCCAAATGGCGTCCGGGCCCAGTGAAATGGTTCCCTCTACGTCGGAGGACCCGTTGCCTCGTCCGCGACCCAAACCCATCATGCAGTTGCCAACGGTTTGCGTCTCCGGACTGCCTGAAGCAAATCTGAACGGCTTCGGCTTCACGCAATACCGGAATCCGCAAGAGAGTCCGTTGGTTTCGCCGGTTTTCGTCGAAACGGCAGTGGTAAGCGGTGTTTTTGAGGCTATTTTTTGCAATAAGAAACAAAATTTCCCCTTTCCAAACAAACTTCCTGAACTTTTCACCGTTCCAAAAATAATTCCGGCATAAAAATAGCGGCATTTCCAGCGGATTTTGACGCACGTTCTGACGCGCAAAAAACGTTTCAGAAAAATTCGGAATCCGTTCTTTGTTTGGGGACGCCGGATTCACGGCCGATTGGGGATTCGTTGACCGGCCCGCTTTTTTCTTGCAAGAAGGAAGTGGAATACGTGAAAAAGTCGGCGAAAAAATGAGACAGGACGCGTTGGTCAGTACAGTAGGAGAGAAAAAATTACGGTCGAACAGTTTCAGAGCGTCGACAAATGGAAGGTGACATTTTATACGAAACACAAAATGTCACGGAGCGTATTTTACATTTTAAACAGAGACTCCTCCACTTGAAATTCTAAGCTATGTGACTGTTTTTTTAGTCACTACGAATAAGGGGACATTTTATACGAAGAAATTTTTTGTCGTATAAAATGTCACCGTCGTTGCAACTGTCGTATTTTACATTTGAAACAAAGCCTGCCGATCGTCGAGCTCTAGGAGGATTTTACATGCTACCTGATTTTATCCCAATTACGACCTGAGGGGACATTTTATACGAAGAAACGTTTTATTGTATAAAATGTCACCCAATGATTTTTGAATGCACCGTGCTGTATTTTAACCATTCATCTCTCATGTTTAACCAACTGCAAGGCTTCAAACCCAAAAAGTTGTCTCGAAATGACATTTTATACGATGAAAGCTTTCAGCGGATAAGATGTCGCCACTGCGCTTACAGATGTTTTATGGGAAATAAAAAGGCTTCCGTATAAAGAGAAAGGCCTCTAAAATCATTTTTCAAGCCTTGAACCATGATTAAACACTATTCAACATTGATTTTTTAGACTTTTTATTTGATTTTTTATTTTTTCAGGCGGAAAGCCTCAACGCATTTCGATTGCAAAGTGGGGGCGCCACCAGTGCCCTATTACTGGACCGCCTTGATCATCGGCATGAACGGATGTCCTCAAGTTCGTCGGATTCTGGAGTCGCGTTCCCTTTTTCACCTCCAGCGCATACCTTGGGTATGTATGTTACAGTAACCCAAAAAAATCATAAGAGTTTGATTTAAATCGCAAAAATTAACTCGTATTTTATGCTAAAAATTTATTTTTGGCCATTATTTTTTATCAGCATCAAAATTAAGGGTTATTTTAGGAATTACAGTAACCCCAAAGCCTATATTAATCCCTCATTTCCGCTATGTTATCGGAAATTTTATTTAATTTCGGTCTTATGACAAGACAACCCACTTCTATTTTTTATTTTTCAGCAAAAAAATATTTTTTTAAACGTTTTTATTAGTATCTTTTCTTTTTTTAGGCCTCAGTTCCCCTTCATTATCAATGTCAATTTCGCCGCCCGGCCTCTCGCCGCTGCAGATCAGCACGGACAGCGCGTTCTCCACACCCACACCGAACAGCGCCCACCGGCGGCGGTCGCACTTCACATTTGATAATGTGACCTCGCCCATGCAGAAGAAAGGTAGAGTTACATGACGAGTTGAAGAAAAACAGTAAAAAAGACATTACTATCGCTGATTAATAGCAGAAATATAGCGTGTTATAAACACTAGTACATCCCAAAAGCATTAATGTTTCGATTTTTTAACATTTATTCTGAAGTTGACATTTTATACGATAAAAATCTTTCTTCGTATAAAATGTCGCTAGAGCAAAAACAAACAACCCGAAGTTTTATTTTCTCGGGTATTACAACAACGTTTTTTTGTTGAATTTACATTTTTTGTAATTGGAAAGACATTTTATACGATGAAAATGTTTTATCGTATAAAATGTCACCATCGATATTGTGGATAGAAAATTCCTTTTTTACACTAATTTTTGAGTTGTACACGCTTTATAAGCTAAAATACATAATTTTGGGTCAGGGTGACATTTTATACGATGAAATGTTTTCATCGTATAAGATGTCTTCTAGCCCCCAAAAATTTTCTTGGTAAATATCCATGGTAAAACACGCTCTTTAGGCTTGCTTTGAGTGAACTTAAAGAAATTTCTGCTTTAATATTCACTTCAAAGTTTAATTTTGTTTTCTTCAGACGACTCCAAGCCTGAAAATCTTCTAGACCTCAGCAAAAACCTTCAAGCCAACATGTTAGCGCAGCTTTTGCGCCATTCCAAGGAGCAACTCCAACCACAACAGCAGGCACAAGATCCGCTGAGGCAGTCCGTTTTCCGATCCGAATCCCTGCCGGCTTGCAATCCGCTTCCAAATTCACAGATCCCAAACTTTGGGCCGAAATTGGTGAGCCAGAACAGTCAGCATGACTTGCAGAAAATGCTACACAACATCAATTTGATGCAACAGGCGCAACGACTGAATAACATGAATTTGACGACACACGCGCCCATTTCAAGGACAGCTTCGCTGAATACGCAACTGATCCCACAGCCAAGCCAGGCGGGGTTATTGCAACGGCCACCGTTGAAGGTAGGGGAATTTCTGAAAAATTTAGAAATGTTTCTGTGATGCAAAATACGTTCACTTCATCAAAATACCGGGAAAAAATTATTTTCAAACATTTTTTCTGATGGTGACATTTTATACGATAAAAATGTTTTATCGTATAAAATGTCTCTAAAACAAGACAAGTCTATAAAACATTGTTTTAAGAATAACAAACACATAATTTGTCACATTTACATTTTTTTTTTCAAATGCGACATTTTATACGATAAAAAATTTCATCGTATAAAATGTCTCCAAAGCAAAAAAGTAAAAATATATTGATTTAAGCCATCAAAAATCATTTTTTATGTTTAATTTCCATTTTCTTTGTTCCAAGGTGACACTTTATACGATGAAAAATTTTCATCGTATAAAACGTCACTAAAGATGAAATATAAATGCAAAATTCTAATTATCAAATTTCTGCAGGCCACAGTCAGCTCTCCCTTGTGTGGCGCAGCGAAGCCAGAGCATCAGCAACAACCTCTAAGACGGACTGAGAGCACAAAAAGGAAATTCAAGCAGAACAACGACGAAGAAGAGCCAAAAACAAAGACAACAGTCAGCGTTAGCGTCTCGATTGAGCCGTCGACCGAGGAGAACGATGAGGACAAGCAATTTATGTGCCGGTTTTGTAATAAGGTAAGCTTTTTAAAGATTTTTTGTTGGAAATTTTTTTATTTCAAAAATGAAATTTTTTTCCTTTTTTTTTGATATTTAACTCAAAAATATTTTTTCAGGACTTCCGCCGTCCTGACATCCTCTCTCGGCATCTTCGTCGGCATACCGGTGAAAAACCGTTCTGTTGTGACTGCTGTGGCCGTCATTTCTCGCGTTCCGATCATTTGCGGACTCACCGAAGAACACACACGGATGAGAAGCCCTACAAATGCGATGTTTGTCCGTATGCGGCGGTAAGATTTTTTATTTTCAAAAATATCGTAAAATGGGATTTTCGGGATTTTTTGACTTGACAATCTCGATGATTTCTGCAAAACGCGAGTTCAAAATTGAGAATATGTCTTAGAAAAGTCATTTTCTTAAGTTGTTTTAAGTTTCATCCAAATCTGATGTCATTTTCAATGTTAGTCAGGGCGCAGTCTGCCGAAGAAAAAAATTGGTAAAATGCGTTTTTTAGCATTTATTACCCTATAAAGGGTTTTAAATTACTTACTGGTCGATTTTTTTTATTTTTATATTAAAAAATATTGAAGTCAGGGCGCAGCCTGCCATCTGGCCTTTGCTGATTTTTGGCAAAAACTGCATCAGAATCTTGTAAAGTTGTATTCCCAGCATCTATTCAAGTCTTTTTCAGCGCCGTCGCGATGTTCTGACCCGCCATATGTCCACACGTCATCAGCAAAAAGCCGGCCCTTCATTCCTCCCGCGAAGGGTTCGAAAGTCGCAAAAATACGAAACCAAGAAGCTAAATGCCTCGAGACAAGACCTCAACAATGACAATGGCACAACGAAAAGCAAGGTTGAGCCCGAAGTTATCAGCTTGAGCGACAGCGAAGAGGAGGAGGACATTTTCATCGACGTCACCAACTGGGACTCGGACGAAGAGACGGCCCTAAAAAACAGTGTGAAAGAGTCGAGTGAGGAGAAAAGCGATGCCGAAAGTCAAGGCCATGAGTCTGCGGTAACTCCCGTCGCTGAAAAAATGGAAAAGCTGGTGGAATTGGCCGGGAATTTAAATAACAACAGTATAACCCAACTGGAATAGCCCAAAATTTTGATTTTTTGATTTTTTCTTACTTCGCAAAAGCTCTAATTCCCGGAAAAGTTGTCTAACCGCATCAGAAGCGATTCGAAATGTCTCCAAGGCAAGCAAAAAATTTGTTTTACAACTTTAAATTACTATTTATACTCCTTATTACTATCCGATGCACTCAAGAATTCTATATGACATTACTCATTCAAGACCTAGTCAGTATCGATTTTTATTTTGATTGTTACAGTTTTGTTCGTTTTCTTATATAGCTATTGGAAATGGAGGAGACATTTTATACGATGAAATATTTATATCGTATAAATCGTCGCCAGAACGCTAAAGTGTGCAGTTTTGACTATAAAGAAGCTGAGACTTCTTCAACACTTATTTTTCACTAATTTTTGGTCGGAAAAGATCAGGCGACATTTTATACGCTGAAATATTTTCATCGTATAAAATGTCGCCAGAAGGTCGAAGTTAAAATTTTTCACTAAAAAATAGCTTAGGCTTTCACAACGATTGAGTACGGAAAGGTCCGCTGTGCGGAAAGGTCCGCTGTCCGGAAAGGTCCGCTGCGGAAAGGTCCGCTAAAAAAAGGAAAAGAAGAGGGTGGGAAAAAAGGATTTTTTTGTGAAATTTGAATAAAATTTGAAATGTTTTCGCTTCGGGACTTGGAAAAAAGGATTTTTTGTGAAATTTGAATAAAATTTGAAATGTTTTCGCTTCGGGACTTGGAAAAAAGGATTTTTTGTGAAAATCGAAAAAAAATTGAAATGTTTTCGCTTCGGGACTTGGAAAAAAGGATTTTTTGTGAAATTTGAATAAAATTTGAAATGTTTTCGAGCTGACTGAGTATGAACGAATATGAAAACTGGGTTTCTGTTACTTTACTATCTTTAGGGATTCTTTTTGAAATTTTTTCGACTTATAACACTTTTATACGTTAATGGTGTTGTTTTGATGCCTAGTACTGCTTAAAAAACACATTTTTAACACTTGGTACTAAATAGTACTACCTGGTACTATTTAGTACGAGGTGCAAATTTGGACGTAAGGGAGTAATGATGATGGTTTGGTGCTTAGTAGAGCCCAAAAACACGTGGTACTATATAGTACCAGGTGGTACCATTGGTTTTAGACAAAATTTTAGTGCTGGCGGCACCACAGTTAATATTCAGTCAGACACCCTTTTTTCTACTCCCGATGCGAAAAGATTTCAAAATTTTGTTGAATTTTCCAAAAAATTCTTTTTTTTCCCAGTCTCGAAGCGAAAACATTTAAAATTTTTTTCAAATTTCACAAAAAATCCTTTTTTTCAAGTCTCGAAGCGAAAACATTTTAAATTTTTTTCAAATTTCACAAAAAATCCTTTTTTTCAAGTCTCGAAGCGAAATCATTTAAAAAAATTTTTTTTCGAGACTAGTCACACCTAAAAATCAAAACACCAAGTACAATATAACTTACGTCTAAATCCATTATTCAAAAAATTTTTTTAAAAATTACTAGTTAACACTACTGCCTAAGCAAAATTGTAAAATTCAGAAAAAATGGATACGATATTCGAAATCGGCGCCTTCGAAAACCTCCCCCTCCCCTCCCTCCTCTTTTCTTTTTTTAGCGGACCTTTCCGCACAGCGGACCTTTCCGCGCAGCGGACCATTCCGCACAGCGGACCTTTCCGTCCTTCGTGTTTCACAACACATACTTTTCGTCAAGTATTGATAACAAAGTTACATTTTATACGATGAAACATTTACATCGTATAAAATGTCGCTAACGGACTTCAAATCTTCAAAAATTGATGAAAACCGATTCCAATCGTTATATAAGGCCTTATCAACTATTAATATTCACTCTTGTCGTATCCTCCATCCGGTGGTCTCTGTAATTTAGTCAAATTGCAATATTTTTTTGCACTGTGCAATCTAAAAAACTATAATTTTTGCACTGTGCAAAAAAAAGTAAAACGAAGCTTTTCGCACTGTGCGATTTTTTGATTTCTTGAGATTTTCTGCATAGTGCGAAAAAATTTTTGTATTATTTCTGCACAGTGCGATTTTTTTTTGAAATTTAAATACCATTTTAACCCAACTCGGTGATCGCAGTTATCGATGGTATTCTTAGTCATAATCATAACGTCGAACAAACGTGGTGTAGTTTTCGGTCTAATTTGTACATAATTCCCCTCATAGTTTGTGCAATTTGTGCAATTCCCGAACACTCTCGGTCTACAATGATCTCCTAAACTATTGGAATATTTTCTTCTCCCTTATTATTGCGTTCTTTGTTGTGCGATTCGAATAAATTTACACGGTTTTTTGAGGGGAATTTTTTTAAAAAATCAAAAATTTTTCTTTTTATTTTTCAAAAGAATAACGAATCCATGATTATCGATAAATTTTGATTCGCTGAGTGATCTTCTGGCGACAGTAATGACAACTCGTCAATTTCAAGGCACAGTTGCCGCAGGCACGATGGCCACAAGAAAAAGCCGTATCGCACTGTGCGTCGAAGCAAATTTGACAGTCCCAATGCGTCTGCAGATCCTCCAATTGACGCTGCATCTCTTCCACTTGACGCTCTGAAACAGAAAAATAAAAAAAAACAAAAAAAAAACTTTTTTTTAAATCTTTGGATTTTGAAAAATTTCAAGAAACGATTCGCTAAAAAGATCAGCTAAAAATTGTTATTTCCTACCAGCTTCTCTTTGCTCCATCAATTTGGACGCCACCTTCATTTCCGACTCAACAATGGCGTTGATATTGTAGACGAACTTTTGGTTTGCTGAAAATAAAAAAATATCTTTATTACGCTAAAAACCAACAAACGCAAGCAATAAAGGTTCTAAAAATAATTTCTGTCCCCTAATTTGACCATCAAATTACAGTTTTGACCAAAATCTCAACTTGAAACAGAATGCCAAAATTTCGTTTAGGGACCCAAAAATATATGGAGAACCCAAAAAAATGTGTGAAAAACTAGACAAAGCTTTTATTCTTTGAATGCAGCACGTATACTCTACTTTCCTATCAGAAACCGGCCTGAAAACAGAATGCCAAGATTTCGTGGTGGGACCCAAAAAATTCTCTAAAGTTTCAAAATTTGCCCAAATATCAGTAGACATTTCGTGTGGCCCTTATTTTCAAAAAACACGAGCTTTCCCGATCAAAACTCAGGTTGAAACATAATGCCAAAATTTCGCGGTTGGACCCAAAAAAGGCCAAAAATCAAAAAAATTTTGGGAAATGGCCCGAACGATAATTCATAGACAAAATTATCGTCTATCGTCTTCACCGTGATCAAAAAAATAGAAAAAATATTATTTTGACCATTTTTCGACACTTTCCTCCTTTTTCCTCACCCAATCCCACAAAGCACCGAAAAAACTGCTGGCAGCATGGGCAATCGCATAAAACCTGTTGATGATCTTGCTTCTCGATCGGCACATGCAAGTCCAAGCCACAGCATTTGGCGCAGAACGGATGACCGCATGGGTAGCCAATCAGCGTTGAAAGAGCTTCACCGCACTTGAAACAGTCGGGAAACCGATAATTGGAGGGTCCACAGAGTCTGAAGACCTTCGAGGAGTCGGGCTTGGGTCTGGATGTCCTCGGCCTGGAATGGCGGGACTTCTGAAATACGAAATTTGAGAAGTAGCAATGGGAATGTTATAATGGGTGATGACAAGGGCGACGGTCAGATTTTTGGATTTTTGTGAAACTTGGCGTAGCCGAAGATTACAGCTTTTTAAAACCCAAGCCAGATTTTTAGCTTGTGTGTTGCAGAAACGGCCAAGATTTTTAAGTCCAAAAATTAGCATTGAAAAGTTTCGTGCCTATTTCTATTGTAGAGGAAAATACATATTTCCACAAAAAATTCATTTTTTCCGCACGAAATTGGCAAAAGGGTAGCAAAAAAATAATTTTTCTCTGACCGTCTCCGCATTTCGCGTACTCTCTCGGCCGCAAATTTCGTTGAATATCTCGGCTGACCATGGAAACCTCGAGCTAAAACTTCCAGTAATTGTTACATAGCCTATGCCCGACGTCTGCTCAAAATTGAAAGAAAACCTGAGCGTCGCTCTTGTTTCAATTGACAATTAAACTTTTCCTTACCGTTGAACTCGGGACAGAACTCTTAAAAAAGATTTTGGGCTCCTCGGCAAAATTATGGGCAGTCTTGACTTTGGGCTTCATATCGTATTGATTTGGGTCGACGGTCTGCTTCGGCGGGACAGGCTTGGTTTTGTCGACCGGAAAACGACAGAATCGTCGGGTTGGAACATGATGACCTGAAATAGGAAACTTGCAGAAGTGATTGGTAAAATATTTACTTTTATTTATTTCTTCAGGGGTTATGTAGCTAAACTCTGGACGATGAATTTTAGAGGACCAAAAAATTTTCGTAATGTAAGGGTTTCGTTTTACGAAGGCTTGGTCTAATTTTACAAAAAAGGCTTTGAAGACCACCCCAAACAACAAAAGTCAATGCGAGCTGCGCCCAGAAAAAAATTGGAAAAACTTCCTTATTTTGGCCACAACAAAGGCACTCCGCGAACTGCGCCCAAGCTTGGGCACTAAAGTTAGAAAAAAAAAACGCTTCGACCTAGCTGGCACTGAATTACTATAATAGCTCTATAGTTTTAAGGGTACCTACGAAGGCTGTGACGACTCATTTAGTTCCATACGGAGGCAACAAGTTTAGTTCCGGATATGTTTCATCGTATAAAGTGTAAAATGACAGGCTGCAGCCGTTTTTAAAGGGTAAGGTGGTACGTAAAAAAGAAGGTACCTCACTAACTAAATCCACTGTCCGGGCATTGACAACGACGAATTGAGCGTGCACGCTAAATTTGGGCTAATTCCGACCAGTTTCCGCAAAGTTAAAAGTTGTGGCCAAAATAAGGAACTTTTACCAAAAAATTAAACCCTAAAAAATAAAAAAATCAAAAAGGTACATAAGAAATAATGCTAACCTAAGCTTGGGTTAAGACGACACTAAAAGATGTACACTAAAGATGAGCCTAGCCAACTTTTTATTGTATGAAATGTATATATTCTGCAGGTTGTGCACCCGTCATATTCCCAAGCTTGGGCCCAAGACCTTTGGTTATTTTTGGGTGGTGGCCGATCTGCCGAACTTTTCCCAGTCATGCCTCTACATACACCAACATAAAAACAGTTCAGAAAGAACAAAAAAAACTTACGTCGATTCAGCATTTTTTGAACGGAACAGCCGGCCACAAGAAACCTCACTTTTTGGAACTGTTTTATTTTATTTATTTTTTTTTTGATTTTCATTTTTTGCTTTTGAAAATTTGCATAACTCCTCTATAGAGCTCTATCAAAAAAATAATTTGAGTTCTCAAAACGTGACCTTCACTTTTCGATGAAACTTGGCACAAATTTAGAGCTATTTTTTCTGAAACACAGCGTCACATTTGGGACTCTTGTCAGCCTGCAGCTAACTGATCGTTCCGATCATTTCCTCATTCACTCAAGCATTCAAAATAAGAAAACCTTTGCGCGGGTGTTCGATTACCAACTGCAGCCAGCGGGACCTTTGAACCACTTTTTGTTTCCCCGCTGCTTCGGAGGTTGTGTGGAGACGGAAGTGTTCGCTTGAGATCAAGTGAAAATCGCTTCGAAAAGAGCGAAAGTTTGGAGGCTATTTGGCTTCGGTTCAGTTAAACAGCAATTGGGTTTTGAGAGCTGTTTTGAGCTATTTGAAGAATTTTTTGTTTGTAAAATTGTTTTTGAATTTTTTACCATTCTGTCGGGAAAATAATGAGGACTCTGTCGTATCGAAAATCGCATCACCGCTGAGAAAATGAATTGTGTCGCGGCAAAATCAAATTGCTTTTCATTTCAGCGGCGCGATCGCCGTAGCGACATTGTGTCTAGAGGTGGCAATCGGGCTGGGCCGGCCCGGCCCGGCCCGGCCGGGCCCGGTGATTGGGCTGGGCCGGGCCGAGCCTGAGCAGATTTGAAAAAGCCCTGGGCCGGCCTGATCGCTTCGGCCCGGCCGGGAAGGTAGATAAGTAAAAAATTTTTAACGCTAAACCGGCAAAATAAAGTACAAATGCTTTGTAGAATGGATGGAAATTAGATTAAACCTTTTTTGACTTATACGCTGTTTTACTACCCTTTAAAATTATGTATGTGTAACTTATTATGTATATGTAAAATCCCACCCAAATATGTAAGGGTCGGGCAAAAGTCTTCGAATTTTTTTATGATAAATTTAAAAATTTCACTGTAATTTTGAATCCTCGATGTAAATAAAAGTGTTTAACCAGTTTTTGGTTAACCACGTCCATAATTTTATATAGCTAACTTCCTATAGGATTAAAAAATTCAACACAATCCAACTTTTTCGCTAGATTTTAGCTACCTGTACGGATGTTCCAGTCATCCGACTAGACTTTTTAATCTCACGTAGACACACGTAAAAACCTTCTGGAAAGCATAAGAACTTCCAGTAGAAAGTGCAAAGACTTTTATCCAACTTTTCTGTATTAGCGGGCCAAACCGGGCCGGGCCGGGCCGGCCTGGGCTTTCACCGGGCCGGGCCGGGCCTGAGCAAATTTGAAAAAGCCCTGGGCCGGCCTGGTCAATTCGGCCCGCGGGCCGGGCCGCAAAAATCGGCCCGGCCCGATTGCCACCTCTAATTGTGTCCTTTATTTCCCTGGCAGACTGATAAAGGCAATATTTTTTCCAAGCGCAAGTGATGGATTTTCTCCAAGTTTAGCACAATAGTTATTTGTAGGACCCTTGCTAATACGAGAAAATTTTAGCTCATGTGCCATTAGGAGACCCGAGATATTAAACAATTTTTGCAGACAACTTATATCGAAAACTAGGAAAAAATGGCTATTTTTCTGAATTTTCTCCGAAAAAATAGAGTTTTTCTGCACAAAAAATACATTTTATTTCAAAGCTTTATCCGAAAAATTTTGAAAAATTCATAAAATTTTATCTTTTCGATCAAAAAATTTAAAAATTCCTTGTGCTCATTATTTTCCCGACGGAGTGATACTAGCCCGTTCGCAAACTCGCTGGAGTGATTTTTGCGGCATGCACTGTGAGAAAACTAAAAAAAGTCCACCTTGCACAGTGCAATAGGCTCTTTTTAACTGTCACCCGCACCTTGAATGTTCGATTGTTGAAACGCACAGTGCAAACGCTAAAAATCACTTCAGCAGCTTTACGAACGGACTAGTAATCTTTTCAAACGCAAAATTCAGATTCTTGTATTTTGTGTTAGTAGCTGCAAAACCTTTCTGTTCTGAGGTCACACTGCACAAGGATTTGTAAGCTTATTTCATCATCTAATCGGGGATTTGTCATCAGTCACGTGAGAAAAGAGATTTGCATAACGGACGAGGAGCACCGAGTCGGAACCCGGGCTAATCCGGGCTCGAAAAAAATTGTGAAGGCAGTTCTTTTCCAAACGCAATATTTTTATTTCATCATGAAAGGTGTACCTCTTTTTTGACATTTTTTAGCATTGGCCAGCACATACAGTGAAACCTCTGTAAAACCAAAGCTTTTCTATTGGTCTGTTGGGGAAATCTCGAAAAATCGTATCACTGCCGAAAACATGAATTGTGTCGCGGCAAAATCAAATTGCTTTTCACTTTAGTGACGCGATCGACGCAGCGACATTGTGCTCATTATTTTCCCGACAGACTGACATAAAAAATTTCAAAACTTGATTTTTCGTATAAAATGTCTCCGAGTTTTTCAAACCTTTCATTTTTCCGACGGCCTGATATTAGCCGCTAATCAAAAAAATGACAGATTTTGCCAACTTTTGGACTAACAATCTCGGCTGTTTCAGCAAAGCGTAAGCTAAAACTTTCAGGAATTAATACTTGGTCTATGATCAACGTATTTTCAAAAATTAGAGGGAATTTGAGCGTCGCGTTTGGCGTATTCGTTAACTTGTTAGCTCGCTCTTTCCCCGTTTTTCGCCTGCGTTCTTCTTCTCCAGTACCTCCCTGTAAGCCTAAAATTGATCTTTACGACCATTGAACTTGTTCGTTGTAGACAGTTTATGCTATATGGATGCATCAGTCTGTCGGGAAAATAACGAGTGCAATGTTGGAGCTGTTCTCCTCCAGTACCTCCCTGCAAGCCAAACATTGCTCTTTGGGACGACTGATCTTGTCAATTGTAGACAGTTTATGCTGTATCGATCTATCAGTCTGTCGGGAAAGTAATGAGCAAAATGTCGCTGCGCCAATCGCGTCGCTGAAGTGAAAAGTAATTTGATTTTGCGACACAACTCATTCTCTCGGCGGCTATGCGATTTTCGACGCAACAGAACGCTCATTATTCTCCCGACAAACTGATACATAGCCTCTACTGTAGTAATACCCCACAGCTACTGAGGTTTGCTCCCATAACTTTCCCTTTTTTACTGTTTCCCCAATCCAAATCGGAAATGGGAATTGCTCAAAAAAGGCGCTGATCACATGAATGGAAGCCCTCCCAAAATGGGTGGAACTCACAAAAAAACGAGCGACAGTCTGCGTGTGAAGGGCGTAAAAACAGATTGTTGGGTAAACGCTAGACATGTTTATTGTAGGTTGATGGTGTTTGTAGCGACAAAAACAGGCGGAAAATCACTTTGTAGTTGGCAATTAGAACCTGGGGAGGTTTTTGAGGCTTTTGGAAAATTTTGAAGGAATTGAAAGGTTTAGTTGATATAGGGTACCCTAAATTAAATCTGCTGTATTTTGATGATAATATTGGTAAATTGAGATTAGTCTTTTCAAAGATATGTGCAAGATTTTTAGCTTATGATATGCAAAAATTATCAGGATTTTATAAGGCAAGCGTAGGCTAAAACCGAATATTTTTGACTATTCCTAAAAGATTTTTTATCGGTTATGGATGCATATAGATGCGGAGTGCAATATCACTTCAAAAAAATCACTTTTTTCTGCTAAGAAATCTACAATGCATAGCGAAAACAAAGATTTTTGACTGTCTCGTTGTCTTAGGCTCTCGTCTGCAATGATCGTTGAATATCTCGGCTCTTTCTCTCTCAAAACAAAAGCTAAGATTTTTCCAACTTCATATATCTCCTGTAAACATGATGTATGCGAAAATTGGGGTAAATCCGAGGTTTTTTAAATCAGTTTTTTTGAAAGATTTTAAAAATTTGTTGGTCTAAAACAATGTTTTGGTCATATCTTTGGATCAACTCAACGTAATATAATATGTGTTTCCATGGCTCATTTAATGCCATCACCAAGACGAAGGCCCGTATTTTACCCAATTGTTTTACCGACCAAATTATCGACCATTTTTTCAAACTTTGAGCTAGTTTTTTTGTTTTAAAGTGTTGGTAAAAAATTGCCCTAAAATAATGATTTTGGCTTTAAAAATTTTAAAACACGTCTACCGACTTGAGTTTAGACAATTTTACAGATATTTGAACCAAAATTTTCAATCAATTTTAACACTTTTCTATTACAATATCACTTTTTGTCATCATCCCTAATTAACGACATCTTGTTCGAAAAAGATTCCCATTAATTCCTGTGGCAATACAACTTCCAAAAGTCATAATTTCGAATTAAAACCTCGGGGTTCTTTAATGGGCCGGGACGAAAAACCAGCGCAAATGGTCTTGCTTCGGGAGGCTAGGAATCACTTAAAATGTAAGATGGGGAGATTAATTTTTATCGAGAAATTGCCCAGATTCTCCGGTTTTCTGTGTTGTTTTTGTTTTTTCTGTAATTGAAATGTCTGTTTTGTGCTATAAACGTTTGTAAAATACGTCGAAATCCTCCTTCTTTCATTTAGAATGACGTCATATCTGTCTGTCGGGAAAATAATGAGCGCTTTGACGCATCGAAAGTTGCCTCGCCGCCGAGAAAATGAGTCTGGTCACTAAAAAATCAAATTGCTTTTTACTTCAACGACTCATTATTTTCCCGACAGACTTAGTGAATTTTCAGTTTCCCTGAAAATTTGTCGTTTCTAGTCTTAAAAATGATTTGAGCCTTGTTTCTACCAGTGAGGACAACGTTTCTATTACAAATCTCTTTTTCCGCGCGGAATTGCCAAAGAAATCAACCGAAAAAAAAATTTTTCTAACGTACAGGAAAAATTTGAAGAAAATTTTTGCTACCACTTGGGCTTTTGATAGCTTGTAGTATTAAGAATAAGTGGAGCAATCCGCATTTTACACTCTAGCTTTATCG